GCTCCTCGCCTTTGGAACAACTTACCCCCTGAGATTCGCGCGGCTCCCTTGCTGGGCATTTTTAAGAAACAACTAAAACCACTGATGTATAGGCAGGCCTTCCCAACAGAAAACCCTTGACGATCTTTTTCTTTTATTTTGTTCTCTATCTTCATTTATGTTTTAGCTCTAATGTCTTAAAATTACATTGTTGTTTTTATTGTAAGCCGCCTAGAATGGTCTAATACGATCAGATAGGCGGGATAGAAATAAAATAAATAAATAAATAAATAAATAAAACTAAATATATACACGCGTTTTTGCTAATAATCTCACACACCACAGAAAGAATGTGGATTTCTTTGTCATTCCTGGTGGGTAAAAAGTGAGATATGCAACAGGAACAGTAATACCATCACAATCACATTGTCTATTTACACCATTATTATTATAATTACTATATCTAATAAATGAGTAGTGTGGTGATCCCATACACATCAGGACAGCAAAGAAGACATGCTACAGGTTTCTTCTGGTCACTCAAGGAATAGGTTGAAGGAAGGTCTTCACAAGGACTCTGTTCATTCATTATAGTCTGGGAGGCATACGTTATTGAAAAGATGTGGTAGGAGGAGGAAACAGAATTTAAAAGTATGGGGATATTAGCAAAATAGGCTTCTGTTTAGTCTATATGTTCATGCACCTGGGACTGAAAACTGGAGAATTAAAGTTTACAAATCCTTGTTCAAAGAATAAGAGAAGAAGATCCTAAGATTAACCATGAGTTTGTTTGTTTGTTTTTGACACCTTGCAAATGGAAATGCTGTTGTTGCACCCTGTGCCTATTTCTATACAAGCTGGTAGACAGAATCCCCTCCTCTAAGAGCCTGTTCTTAGCCTTGCACATTACGCTGTGATTAAGAAAGGACATTTAAGAGATGGAAAAGAACAAATTAATTACCAATAGAAGGCAAAAATCTTCAGGTTTCTGATTCTCAACTAGACTTCAGGACCTGAGAAATCATCTCCAATTTGGATTATGTTTATTTGTAGGGGCAGCAGAATAGGAATGGATTCTCCACTACCCTAACTTGGGAGAAGACTGGTGCAGAAAAATGTAACAGTATCACTTGCAAGCTGTAACCCTTGCATTTGGGGCCACAGGACCTCTCCTTTCAAGGCTGATGGTCTTACTTTGGAGGACACATTGAAATAATGGCTGAAATCCTATTGCTTAGTGTGGTAAATTGCAACTAGAAGAAGCAGATTGAATAAGTGAGGATTTGCTGAGGCAACTCCTCTGTAATTTCCACTGATTGAGTGAGCCAGGTGATTTACTACATTAAGCAACAGGATTTTAGCCATAGTGGTTATTTCTATGTTTGTATACACATAGGGCCATTGCCTTGAATCTACACAATTTCCAAAACAAAGGATTGAGTACACTGAACATGTTCAGTTTTCTTTTCTCCTCTTGCAAAAATATGTATTTCAAACATGAGGGCAACATCAAAATTGTTGTTTTCTCTAAACAGTAGTGTGTTACTGAATTATCATGAAATACATATTTTCATGAAGTGAACAACAGATGTGACAGATGATTTAGCAATAATAAAATATAATCTACATTCATGTTCTGAGAATGTATTTGTTGGTACATAACACATTCCATTAGGGTGAGATTTATTTTTGGAATAGGTGGGAAACATAGGGAGAACTCTGGCCATTAAAAATCTAAATTGAAATAGCTGATTTGCAACTTTTTGTCTATACTCTTGTGCATGGGTAAAGGCACTCCTCCATACATAGTTCAATACTGTTTGCCAGGATTTTATAACACGATGCATGAGAACAAATCTACTGCAGGTCAGACAAGCTTTTATTTGCATCATAACCCATCCTGTTTGCTGCCAGATCCAATGTATATAAACTTCGAAGTACATCTCACTGGGGTGTTGTTATTTTTTAAGCATTTTTAATCAGCTTTTTAAGATAAATATGAGTATTCTGAATAGTTCAGGAAAAAAAACAACAATGGAGTACAAATCATAATTGGAAGAAATGCAATGCAATAAAACATATCCTTAGAAAGGCCAAAATGCAAAACTACAACAAACTGAACAACTATTAACCAGGACAGAACAAATGTACCGAATAACAGTTTAGGACCTCGATTTCTGTCAGTACATCTCTCCTAGAAATCATTGATCCGTTCCAGCCACTCCACTCAATACATGTTAAAAGTGGCCACACCAAATAAGGCCAAAAGGGCAAATAGAAGGAATTGTGCCTTCTAAATTGGCCCCTAGTCTCAAAATGCTATGAAAGATATACCAGGCACCTTCCCTTCTTATCTTTATAAAACTGGTAAAGACAGAATTATTTAAAGCTGCCTCTAATAACTGAATCTCCTGGATGCTATCAGTTTTTAAAATATTCTTTTGAGAGGTTGTTCCAAAAATTGTTTTTAAAAACAACAGGATTAAAGGGACAATTCCCAGGCCGTTACTCATTCAGAGTAAACCAATAAAGCAGTACGATTAAATAAAAAAAACCATTATCTTTGCATGGTTTTATATTTGTTAAGGTTCCAATTCAAAGATCCTCCACTGTGGACAGTCAGCAAGAAGTTAGTCAGTATTTTGTATCCCACTATATTCACAAAAATGCAGTTTTGTACTGTGTTAACCACCAGGCTTCCTTTCAAGATTGCCAACATGTTTTGTTTTTTTAAGAGAGAAAATTTTTGCCTACCCTGGATAGAGTCAGCGTCCCTTGCTTGCATGTGCTGCAACGGACCCGAAGCTTTCCTGGTTTCACAGCTTGGCAGAAATCTTTGCAAAAAACATAAAAACTGTTGTACCTGGAAGCACCTGTTAGGAAGAAAAGTCAAAAACAGACAAACAAACCTCAATTTTATTATGCCATCATATTCACACTATGAATGTGTGTGTAAAATGAGAACTCTACAACAAATAAAGAGGACATTTTCAAAAATTTCACTACAAGGAAGTAGAAAACAATTTAAGTTACACATTTCTGTATATAGAAAACAGATGCCTTTTTTGTTTTGTGACCATTTGCACATTTACCAGTTCCTCAATTCACCACACCACATGAGAAGAAACAAAACAAAACAAAAAAAGGGAATGTGGAGCCTGGAATCCATCTTCGGAAATCAGGCTCATTTGTGTGTGCTGAGGAAATAAACTAAGAGCTGTAATGCTCAGTGTGTGTTAACAAGGAGACTATATTCACAAAAATGCAGTTTTGTACTGTGTTAACCACCAGGCTTCCTTTCAAGATTGCCAACATGTTTTGTTTTTTTAAGAGAGAAAATTTTTGCCTACCCTGGATAGAGTCAGCGTCCCTTGCTTGCATGTGCTGCAACGGACCCGAAGCTTTCCTGGTTTCACAGCTTGGCAGAAATCTTTGCAAAAAACATAAAAACTGTTGTACCTGGAAGCACCTGTTAGAAAGAAAAGTCAAAAACAGACAAACAAACCTCAATTTTATTATGCCATCATATTCACAGTATGAATGTGTGTGTAAAATGAGAACTCTACAACAAATAAAGAGGACATTTTCAAAAATTTCACTACAAGGAAGTAGAAAATTTAAGTACACATTTCTGTATATAGAAAACAGATACCTTTTTTGGTTTTTTTTGTTGCTTTTGCCTGCAGCTTATCTCCTGAGAAAGAGGCCTTCAGGATGAGATCTAGCCAGTTTCCCATTCTACCTGGGAAAACGATTACATGGGAGTGCGGGCTGAAAGTGCTCTTGACCTCCATGTACATTTGAGGGAACTTGAAGACCAAATGGTGGTTCAAGGTAAAGAAGGGTGAAGAATGGGGTGTTTACTGTACAAAAAGGGGCTCAGAAATTCCTTTGGTTGGCTAAGCTTGACTCTCACGAGATACTATGCTCAGTTAATGTCCTGCTGATGCACTTTGTGAATGCCTCAGAAGCATCATGACTTCTATGTGAGTGGAACAGCTTTCTTATTTTTGGTGTGCAGTATTGCCTTAGTTTTGGGCCAAATGTGGTGTTTTTTAAAAAAATCTTTTTCAATGCTTTTGCCTTTTTGTTCTATTTAATAAAATATATATTTTTTAATCGTCAACTGTTGGGGGTTTTGACTCAAAGGGTGTATGGTATTAATTCCAGATCCAGTCTTTGATTGGTGGCAGGCAATTTTGGTTCTTCTGTGGGTGTGATAGCAACTCTTCCTTGTAAGGTGAGTGTACCAGTTCAAAGTACTTAAACCTGTGGATTTTGGGCACTCTTGAAGCACTGTCATGTCCAGGAAGACTAGGGTGTTGGGAGATGCAGGTGCCAAGTTGTTTTCCTCAGCTGGCTGGATAGCTCAGTGATTTACACACCTGGCTGCAGAGCCAGAGACTGGCAGTTTGATTCCCCACTCTGCTCTCTGGGAGGAAAAACAACCTGTGTGACCTTGGGCAAACTGCACAGTCCCAGGGCAACTCCAGAAGAAGAGAATGGTAAACCACTTCTGTGTATCTCTACCTAGAAACCCTGGGAAGAGTCAGAATTGATTTTGACAACATGCAATTATTATTATTAATCACAACTCACTCTCCTGGGTTCACCCACTCTGGACCAAACAGAATAATGTGGCTGAGTGTCTCTGGAAGGGCCCCCTGGACCCAGGCAATCTTCACACCCATCCTTTGCCACAGGCTCTTCATACATGCATCCACACACAGCTAAAACAGCATCTTGACACATGGAGCATGTTCCTGTCTATTTTGTGAGGCACCGAGATTGAGATTATTATGTGAATTCCTTCTCCAAGCACTGCTGTATACCAAGGTTTGCCGGGTGGCTTTCTGTCTTTTTTGAGTCTTTGCTTTCGAGACTCCTTAAATCACTCTAAATAGGTATTGCATAGTGTTGACTTTGCTGATCTTTGTACGCTACGTAGTTACATTTTTAAAAAGCACCGGCTTTTAAAATAACGTTGAAGGTGCCTTTTTGGACGTGCCATTTTCCATATTGCTTTGCTATTTACCTTCAGCACTGAATATGCTGGGTTGTGGTTCTTCTTTTTTTTTTTGCTCTTTGTGAAATCTGTTATTAAGTGAGGTTTATTGGTTTTTGCATTGCCTAAAGACTTTGGCTAGGAGGCAACTCATTAATGAACTCATGCATGGGCATATTTGTCAGTTTCACCTTCTCCCATAGTTGCATGTTGTGAATTTTGTTAATTTTTGATTTCAAATATGAACTGAATTGAAATAATCAATTAAGATGGTCAGTGGTTGTTCTGGGTTTTTCAAGCTCTTTGGCTGTGTTCTGAAGGTTGTTCTTCCTAACGTTTCGCCAGTCTCTGTGACCGGCATCTTCAGAGGACAGCAACCTGTGCTCTGGTGTTGTTGGCTTGGGAGTGCAATATTTATGGCTGTGAGATAGGCTTTTGTCTTTTTCTGTAGATGGGTGATTAGTGTGTATTGTTGTGGGTGTGCTAAGGAGAAGAGATTATCTGTTCCTGTGGTTGGTGTCATTAGCTGGTCTTTTGTGTGTAGTGATCCCCTGTCCTTGTGGCTGGGTAGAGGTCGTTGACCTTTTGCACGCTGTATTTTTGAGAGCTGGGAGCCAAGTTTTGTTGAGCTTCATACTTTCCTCTTTTTTGTTGAAACTGTGCTGGTGCTTGTGGATTTCAATGGCTTCCCTGTGCAGTCTGACGTAGTGATTGCTGGTGTTGTCCAGTATTTAAGTATTTTGAAATAGAATTTCATGTCCAGTTTGTTTCAGGGCATGTTCAGCTACTGCAGATTTTTCTGGTTGTTTTAGTCTGCAGCGTCTCTCATGTTCTTTGATTCTGGTGTGGATGCTTCATTTTGTGGTTCTAATATATACCTGGCCACAACTGCAATATATCCAGTATACTCCTGCAGTGGTGAGGGGGGCCCTTCTGTTCCCCTCACAGCCACCCACAAATAAAGTATTTCTGCCATACATCAAAGGGGTCATGGACCGCATGGGAAAACTTTTGGAAAAAACACAACCTACAAACAGTATTCAAGCCCACCACAAAAATACAGCAAATGTTACGGTCAGCAAAGGACAGAAGGGTTTTTTTTTTTCCTTCTTAAGCCTCAGCAACAGAGGTGGGGGCTCTAGTGTCTGTTTTTTGAGGTTTTTTTCTTAACACCTCAGCAACGGAGCACCTTCCGACTGGGCTTGCTATGCTCTTTTTATTTTTTTATTTATTTTGGTTATTTTTCCAGCTGGGCAGCAGGGGGGAAGCTGTGGCTGCGGAATGGAGTGAGGGAAGCTCCGGAGGAGCAGGAGAAGGCGGGCAGGCAGGCAGGCAGGCAGGCAGGCAGGCAAGCGCGTCCCGGCCCAGTCTCTGGCCCCGGCCTCGTTCACTTCGGCCAGCCTTTGAGGATCCCTTTCTCTCCCGGGTTTTGTTTTGGTTTCTTTTCTTTTCTTTTCTTTTTTTTTTTTGCAGCCGCAGCACGTTCCTATGGGGCTTGCAGTGTTTTGGGGGGGGTATTTTTTTCTTCAGCTGGAACAGATTAATTGGTTTTCAATGCATTCCTATGGGAAATGGTGCTTCAACTTACGAACGTTTCAAGTTACGGACACTGTTCCAATACAGATTAAGTTCATAAATTGAGGTACCACTGTAGTCACAGTCATGGGTATATATGGAAAAGGTTTTCAAGAGGAGAAATAATATAAAGGAGGAAGAACAGGATGGCTTAAGTTCAAAAGCTGGCATCCTTTTGTTGTATTAAAAAAACCTAAATGAAAACAACTGAGGATGTTATCTTGCATTTGGTGAAGTGATCTTTGTGTCCATGAAAGAACATGCCATAATACATTCCTCTCCACCACAGGAAAAATAATAATAATTTTGGCTCTATCTCCCTGAAAGATCATTCCACAATTAGAATACTGTGTCTTAAATGAAATTTCTCTTTTAACCCCCACCAATGGAGGGAGGCGGGGAGAAGCTGGACACTCTCAATCATCCAAATGTTGGCCCCCACCTATGTGCAGATTATAAAAAATATATAAAGCCTCTACTAGCACTAACAGAATTTCTTTAACATATCATGTACTTTAGCTCTCAGGAGGACAGAAAAAAACTGTACAAGACCAGGACACAGTATGTCACCGTGTGTCACCCTCACAAAGAATAATGAAGTTGCTTTCTACTTATACAAGGAGAGAGTTGGACAAGAAAATTTTAAAATACAGTATAGCTAAAAACGTTTCGTACCCAGCTTATCTTGCTTCAGTAAGTCATCCTGGAAGAGCCTTGTAGGGGATCCGATTTGTCTCTACAAATCCTGATCTTCTAAAAAGCCTCATTGGTTAAGACTTGTGCTTTCTTGCCACATGGGGGTGTTTCCCAAAATGAGGAAGTTGGCCTTGTTTAATTTAACAGTTCAAAAAATATACATATACCAGGATCACGTCTGCGTGCACTGAAAGCTGTCAAGGTACCAAATGTGAATTTAGTGCTTCCTTAATGAAAAGGCAATCTTTCAACTCTAGACACAGAATGAAACAGAAAAGTTGACAAGTTGCAGGCTTTTCAATTTATTGGACTAATTTAAAACGTGATGGCATTAAATATTTGACGGGTAAGCTCTTGTTGTGTGAGCCAAATCAGATTTACTGTAATTAATTTACCTGCAGCTCAGAGTGTAAGCTACATTTACTAATGCCAATAAAAGGAATGAAGAGTGAAATGAGAAGATGGTTTAAAGTGTAGAAACCATATGCATTTTATTTAAGATCACCAAGATTGCTAATTTGGGGAGGGTTTTTTTCAAATACTGGGAGAAATTAAAAATACATCCCATGCGGCATTACAGATTTTAAAAAACTAGTTAGTTCTCATGCAGAGTCACTGTTACTAAATTCCAGAATGTGTATTAACAGAGAAGCTAACCACACCCGTAGAGTAGAAACAACTTCTGGTGTGCTGAAAAGCCAGCACGCAGTTCCTTTTTTTAATTTTTAATTTTTATTTTTTGCTGTTGCTGGCAAAATTTGTGGTATCAACCCGCATGCAAGAGCAATTGTGGAATTTGCCACAGCTCATTGAAAGACACATCAGTTGCATACCTAACTGCACACCAGTCGTGCACTCGACAATTTATCAATTAGTTGTAATTTCTTGTGGCAACCTCTGCATTTCTTCTTTCAGATACGTGTTTTTGCTCTCAGGGTGAGAAGGGCGTAAGCCACATTGCGGAAACCAGGGTTTAATTTTGTGTAAACGTTCATTGGATTGCACTATTAGCTCACTTGACAGTATGCATGTTGGATTTCTTCTGAGTTTTTTCAGAGCTTGGGAAAATATCCTTTTTGAATTACAGTAGTGCCTCGACTTACGAACGTCCCTACCTATGACCATTTCGAGTTACGACCAGCTCCGGCCGCAAAATTTTGCTTCAACTTGCGACCGGAGCTTCCACTTACAAT